TGAAGATATCAATATGTAATACAATAAGCATTGTTAATTCCCTACCACTCTGTTTATAACTCTGTAATGTCTGTACTGATCCTTCGCTATTTTGTAAAACGTTGTCGATCTGTTTGTATTTTCCTCCTTTTATTTCTAAAATTAAAAAAAATACAGAGTAAAAAAAAATTAGTACTGTGCATTTATCAAAATGGGATAATGCACATTTAGCAATACTATTAGCAAAATTCATTTCTTGGCTGAATTTAAAATGAAACATTTTCTCCTAGAATTTTTTCAACAGATAATTAATTACACAGAAGAATTCCGACACATGCCGCTGCTGAAACTCTGGATTGGGCCAGTGCCGATGGTGGCCCTCTATCACGCAGAAAATGTGGAGGTGAGTTCGTGGTAAATAGGATAGATATTTCGCTTATATTTGACACTGTGAGAATAAATGTATAAATGCACTCTTAAATTTCACTTAGCTCAGTACAAAGAGTCTTTCATGAAATGTTTTAGGTTATGTAGGTTCCCTTTAGTCCTTCTTAGATATAGGGAGAATCCTGGAGAGAGTAACACTCTCCGCATATCTTTGTACATTTGTAAACTCTCAATATATTTGTTCTCTTTTTTTGGAAACTCTCTAGAGGGGTATGCCTTTTCAAACCATAAATAGATTATTCTACAAGACCAGCACTTGCTATTCACCAGACACAACTGTAAGATTCCAAAGTGTGACTAATTAAATAATATGGTGTTTCCCTCACGGTGCTCAAGGTCTCATATGATAGCAGAGAAAAATACTGTTATTCTGCATTTAAAGGGTGTGCTAAGGTGATGTTGACAGAGTAGATATTGTGAATCCCTGCTATTGACATTGTCCTCAGAAAGTTTGTAAACCTTGTGTTTAATGTTGTGCCCCTGGGAAAACTGTCTGGTGGTATGATGAGAAAAGGTTTGGATTTGGGTCAGGGAGTAAGAATGCAATCGAGCTTCTCTTCCTGGAACAAAATTAAAAACAGAATTCCCTGGGGGCTGGTGTTGGAGCGAGTCTTTCCTGGTTGTTTTGATAGAAATGTGGGCGATTTCCTTGTACCACACTCCAGAATCCTAGTTCAGGGAAAATAGGGAGGGGAGCCAGGCATAAGATTCTGGCTCCTGTAGACCTGCTGAAATTGGGCTGGTTCCTGGAGAGAAGGATCTGTCCAGAATGGAGAAAGCCCGGGGAGCGTTCTCTGCTCCATCCGGGATGCTCGTCCCTTGTACTTTACTTCATCTCTAGGCAAGTCCAGCACGCTCACTGTTTTCCGTGCTAGCTGTGTGCTAGCAACACTCAAATATGTTGCTCTCGCTTATGTCTTTACGCTGAATTTCACTCCCATTTTCAGACCATGGACAGCTGAATACCTCCACTGGCATACTTGAAGAGAGTTTCACGCTTTCCATCTTCCTAACGTGGTCCTCTGCCAGACTTCTCTGCCCTCCTTCCTTCTTCCTGTCTCCATGTAGTGTCTGCTTGGCTCCTGATTTATGACGAGAATCAGAGAATTATCTTTTCCTCAGTTCTACTTAATTCCCAAAACTGAATGACGAGTATATGTTCAAAACTCGGACCGGACTTCTTTGAGGCACAAGAATGAAAATGAACTTCGAAGAAAATAAAGGTTTTGAAATATAAAATACAGTTGTATACTAACCAAGTTTTTGTATAGTTGAAGTTGTTTTGATGTTTGTATATGTCTCTTCCTCTAAGGTAATTTTAACTAGTTCGAAACAAATTGACAAATCCTTTGTGTACAAGTTCATAAAGCCGTGGCTTGGTTTAGGACTACTTACAAGGTAAGTAAAGATGTCTCCCAGTAGAAACAGTTTCTTCTGTGTGTAAATTGTTATTTCAGGAATAGACAAAAGATAGCTTTTCTGTAGCTAGACTGGTCTCAGGAAGGAGGAAAGAGGCTGGAAGGTCTAGCTAACTGTGGGTCTTGGATAGACAGATTTAAAGTGTCTGGCCCTCTCTAGCCATGGGATTGAATAGTAACCACCAGCAATGTCTGAGTAGAATTAAGAGATCTTGATGTCAAAGCACAGTAAAGCAACAAAGTGTCTGGAGCGGGGAAATTTTGCAAAGGTAATGAAAAAAGGCAGTCAGCCTCAGAGAACACTGAGCACAGTGACTTCAAACCTGACCTGGCATGCAAAGGTAGGACTGCATCTTCTAAGACAGGGCCCAGCAAGAGAAAAGCAGGGCCCTCAGAAGGACTCTGGGGAATTTTAAAGCAGCGATTCTGGAAGCAGAGGACTGGAGTGTGTGGACTCCTGAGAAGTGAGGTATCAATGTGGGGAGAAAAAAACTTCTTAATTTTAGAAACTCAGAACCTATAAGTGAAGAGAAATTCTTAAATTTTTCTTCTTTATACATGCTCTTTTAACTATTAGTATTATGGAACAATGTCTAAAATATATTTTGTAGCTATTTGTGAATATTTTGTATGTTTGCTATTCTGAGCAAAACATTTGAGCATCTGCAGGCAAAGCTGCTTTTAGAGTTTTGCTGGCTTAGCTACATTTGTGCTGTATTTGTTTTGGATGAGAACTCCCTTTTATTTGTAACCATGTATTCTATTTCTAGTACTGGAATGAAATGGCGCTCCAGGAGAAAAATGTTAACACCTGCTTTCCATTTCACAATTCTGGAAGATTTCTTAGCTATCATGAATGAACAAGCAAATATCCTGGCTGATAAGCTTGAAAAGCATGTTAACCAAGAGGCATTTAACTGCTTTTTTTATATCACTCTTTGTGCCTTGGATATAATCTGTGGTAAGCCTGATTGATTTGTATCTGAAGTCATGGCATAAAGATAAAGTAGCCCAAATAGAAAATAACATTCCACTGGGAAGGGAAATGAGGAGACTGCAAAGGACGTGGGATTCTTCAGGCTGGTGTAACTGATAAGTTTGCTACTGAGAAATAGCAGCCACTCATAGGGCAATGAGAAGAGCCAAGTCGCTGGGATGGTCAAAGGGAAGGAAGAACAGGAGCAAGAAGTGGGAGAAGCAGCAGGTCCAAGAAGAGCAAATGAAGGAGAAAAGCAACTATAAAATACAGTGAGAGGAGCAGGATTTTGCCACTGTAACATAAGCAAAAGATACGTGCATGCACTGAATGTTCTCCTCCCCCATATTCTGTAGAAACCGCTATGGGGAAGAGTATTGGTGCTCAAAGCAATGAAGACTCCAAGTACGTCCGTGCAGTTTATAGGTAAATGGGATGCTGTCCGTTCTCCCTTAAATTGTTGAGTTGGACTTTAAAAATTATTGCAAATTATTTGTGTCTCTGTTCTATCTTTATATTATTTCAAAAGGAAACATTAAAATCAAAGTTAACCTCATAATTTCAGCATGTATGTGAGCAGGAGAGTAATGGTTATATAAATTATGGTATATCTAGATTATGCAGATATTTAAAATTATTACACTTAAATATACTGAGATTATATTATGATGTAAATTATGATAGTTATATCATGATACTGGTAAAAGATATAAGCAATTCTTGTAGTACAGTAACTACTATATGTAAAAAATTACGTGTAGGGGAAAAAAACCCAGAAGAAACAATATTAAAGGGTTAATCATGGTTCTATGTATGAATTTGTCTTTCTTGTTGCATTTTTGTATTTATTGATCTTTACTTTCCTTTTTCATATTTTCTGCACAGAGTAGGTATCATTTTTGTAACTGAAGCAATCAGTTTTATTTAAAACTGCTTACAATTATTCAGTTACTAAGAAACAGAGCCAGGATTTGATTTGATGTATCTCATCTTTAAGTCTACTGTGCATTTCACTTCATTTTAACAAATATTGATTGGTCGTCTATATTATACCAGCCATCACACACAGTGCTAACTGATTGTATAGTGCTACATAGAACATAATAGCATAGGAAACAAGCATTGGATCATCAAATATTAACTTAAGAATTGTAACACTTGCTTAGGAAGAAAAGGTCAAACTGATGCTGAACAATACCGGGGATAGGTCCTATACAGGAAAGGTCTGAAAAACTGGCCTCTCAGCCTGTCTTGAAGGAGGTAATCATGTAGAGGAATTTCCATTCCGTCACAGGAAATGAATGAGAGGGGTTTAATAGGGACAACCATGAGCACGTTTTTGTAGAAGACACCCAGTTGTTTTGTCATCACTCAGAGGAATGATCAGATGAATGGGTAGATCTTTAAAAGACACAGATTTTATCTCAGCCTTTGGTACAAAAGATCTGAGAGTTTTGGAAGTTGAGAATTTACTGTAGATGAACAAGCATAGAGACCAGATGCCATCTCTAAGGATGTTTTGTGGATTTTTCATTCCTCTGAAGAGTTCATTTTTTTAAGCTTCCTTGAATGTACAATAGTGCACTCCTTCATTGTTTAGTGCTAAGTTTGGAAGACTAATCAGCCTCATTCATATGTATTCCCTTCATTAAGCCAAGGCACCAAATAGGTGCTCAAGAAATACACATTTCTAATGTAAAAGAAAATGTGCTTTTATTCTATTACAGGATGAGTGATAAGATTTTTCGAAGAATGAAGATGCCCTGGCTTTGGCTTGACCTATGGTACCTTATGTTTAAAGAAGGACGAGAACACAAGAGGGATCTAGAGATCCTACACACTTTTACCAAAAATGTAAGCCATTTTTCTCATAAATACGTTTTCTCAGTAAAATGCATAACAGAAACTCACCATGATAACCATTTGCAGTGTATGATTCATGGGCATTGAGTGCATCCATAGTGTTATAAAGCCATCATCACTATTTCCACAAATTTGTAAGTTCAAGAGTTTTGTTTCATCTATATATACAAGACTATAAAGTCTGTTTCCGTAAAATGAAAGGTGATCAATTGAAAAGAATTTAATGTAAAAAGTGGCCAGTATAATTACATTCAAATTATATATTCAAGTAATAATTAAGTGCCCACCAAGTGCCGACCACTGTACCCGAATAGTAATAAATAAGACGTGTAATCCCTCCGGCCCTAACAGATTAGTAAAGTAGGGGAGGTTATCCATCAACAAACTGTAACAAAATGTGATGTTGGCCATGAACACTTCATTGACAAACAGGGTGCTGTGCAAAAGAATAAGGAAACAGATCTGGGTCTAAGAGTCTTGTGGGAAATATTTGGAGATGACAGTAGTTTTCAAAAGCAAGAGGCATTTAAAGCAGTACATATCTTAATTTAGAAAAAAATGTTATTACTATTTTATTTCCAAATGAAACATAAACAAGGGATAAGGATTTTGGTTTGAATATAGCTCATCAGTCTTTGTGTCAAAATGTGTTTATGAAAAAAGCAGGATTTGGTTGAAAATACACATCAAATTACAATTTAAGTGTATTGAAAAAGAGCCTATATGAGTTATTCTTTCTTTACTATAAGCTTTGGTTAAAATACATTGGAATTATTTCCTCATCATCAGGAAATAATAAGACAATAGCAAACAGGTTGTATTTTAAAATTACATTTTCTCTTACATTTCAAGCCTTAATATTAATATCAATAATTACCAAATTCCAGACTAAATAGGCCATGTCATCCATTTTACAAATATTGAAAATAACATACTGAGACATTGGTAGAATGAACTTCACAAAGAATAAAGGAAAGATTTTTTTCCCCTCAGTGAGCTTAGTATCTATTCATTCAAGCCACTTAACCAGAAAATTTTTCAATTGCCTGATAGGAAAAAGAAAATTGAAATATGTAATCAAATATATGGATTTTAATTGTTGTATTCATCCAACAAATATCTAATGAGCATTCTCAAAATGCCAGTTGGTGCTCTACAATTTGGAAATATATCAGTGAATGAAAATAAATTTGCTGCCACATGGAGGGTAACGATAACAAATAGTAAGTGTAGTAAAATGTCAGGAGGTCAGTGATATGGAGAGAAAGGAGAGTCAGGAAGATAGTGCTGAGGATTGGGGTAGCAGTGATCAGGCAAAGTCTCTGCTATTGTGACAGTGAGCAGAGATCTGAAAGAAGGGAAGGAGAAAGCCAGGCAGGCGGGGGAGGCAGGAATATTCCAGGGATGTGGATGGCAAGCATAAAGGGTGGATCGATGAGTTAACTGGTTTTTTTCTCTAACACAAAACACAGTAATTAAGAGTGACCTATAATTAATTCCTTGCATGATGGTAGTGTTCTCTGTACCACTTAACTTTTTCTTATTAACTCATTAAATCTCTAGGGCACGATTTAGTAGAGTAAGACTCTATTCCATATGAGAAAGATTACAAAAATAGAACTTGAAAATTATGCACTTGTCAGATGTTAAATTTGTTTTAATAGTTTCATGAAATAATGCCTTAAATGTGAACAGGAGACTTAAATATATTTTCACAAGAGCCTAAGTTACCACTTAGGAAATGGAAAGAACAGGAAAAGTTTTAGAAAAAGCAAGTTAAAGAAGCTGGCATATTTTCACAGGAAAATATGTCACTAGCACCTTCTCAACATCCAAGCAACCTCATATGACTGTCACTTAAACCGTACAGGTCATTGCTGAACGGGTCAGTGAAATAAAGGCGAATGAAGAAAGTAACGGTGCTCACTCAGGCCCTGGCTCCTCCAGAAGGAAAGGCAAGGCTTTCCTTGACTTGCTTTTAAGTGTGACCGATGATGAAGGCAACAAGTTGAGTCATGAAGATATTCGAGAAGAAGTTGACACCTTCATGTTTGAGGTATTTTATATTTTCAGGTGATTTCCAGGCACCATTAAAATTTCTTACCTCTGAGGGTAGCTCCATGGTAGAGCACTTGCCTAGCATGGGAGAAGCCCTTTCATCTCCAGCTCTGCAAAAACAAAAACCAGACAATTCCTGTTCTTTTTAGAATCTTTAGCTTAATTTTAAAAAATTTAAACAGTGTTAAAGTGGCACAGTATAACTGAAGAAAGTTATTATATTATCATCAGAAAGTACAGAATTCAAGAACCTGAGTAAGCACTAGATCAACTTCCTCCTTCAGAACATTTTGACTTCTGGTGGCCATAGCAGTATACACAATTCTTCTCAAGAAAGCTAGTTTGTCAAATTTCGCTAACCAGAAGAGCAGCCAGAAATTTCTCTCTGTTCTCTATATTGCTTCATGCTTTCTCTTGCCCTCCCAAGCCCGTTAACCTCCTCACTTCCTCCTTCTAGAGTTTTAACACATGAACACATAGCTACTGCTATGAACTGCATTAGCCATGGAAGGTAATAACAATCTTCCAGTAAGCCAGGCATAGTATCAGAGGCTTGTAATCCCAGCACTCTGGGAGGCTGAGGCAGGAGGGTCACAAGTTGAAGCCTAACCTGGGCAACTGAGAGACTTAATGAGACTCTGTCTCAAAATAAAATAATAAAATAAAATAAAATAAAATAAAAATAAAATAAAATAGGGATGGCAATGTTGCTTATTTTGAAGGCCCTGGGATCTATACCCAGTGCTACAATTAAAAAAAAATACCTCCAATGGAGAATCCAGCCAGTTTGTGATTCTGAAGGAATTTCTGGTCCTTAACTTTTTTTAAGGTACTTTTTACAAATACAGTTTTAAATATTAATTATTACAAAGAACAAAACTTTCTATATCTGGACTACAAACAAAAGAAATGATATTCATAAGTAACATGTAGTAATATCCTTTAAGTGAAAGAAAGTAAAACGTATCCATGTTTTCAGTGACTCATCACATACTAAGCCTTACATTAACTGTTTCTCTTATTGCTGTCTGGTTATAATACAAGTGCTTATGTACTCTTTTAAAATTAAATTTCATTTTTTATAAATAATAATTGTGTGTATTCCTGAAGCATGATGTGATGTTTTGATGCGAATCAGATTAATTACCATATCCATCACCTTCACATATTTATTATTTATGTATTGAGAACATTTAAAATTCACCCTCTTAGCAATTTTGAGCTATATAGCACATTACTATCAGTTATTGTTATGGTTTGTCTGGATGTCCCACCAAAGTCTCATGCAGTCATGGGGCAGGCTTCTAGAGTTCATGATTGATCCATGGTCCAATGCTGGGATTATGGGTGTGAGTGCTATACCTGCCCTGGGGCAGGTAGTTTGCATACAGTGTAAGGGAGGAAAGGAGACTTGCTCTCCCTGCTGCCCCTCCTCCCGTTTGTTCTTGTTGCTTTGCTGTTTTCCACTGCTATGAATTGTTGCCCTCTGCCTTGTGCCACTCTGCCTTGGAGCCAGCCAAGTATGGACTGAAACCTCCACAAACTGTGAGCTAAATAGACCTTCCCTTTCTTAATTTTGGGCATCAGGTATTTTGTCCCAGCAATGAGAGAAAAGTAACTGAGACAATCATAATTGCCAAGTTGTGTGACAGATTGCCAGAATTTATTCATCCTGTCCAGTTAAAAGTCTTTGTCCTCTGACCAGCACTGCTCCTTTCCCGTCTGCCTTCCCAAGGCCAGCCTCTGAGAACCACCATTCAACTCTGTGCTTCTCTTAGTGCAACTTTAGTTTCCGTGTGTAAGTGAGACCATGTGATAATTTTCTTTTCTTCTTTTTTTTTTTTTTTTTGAGAAAAGCAAAACTTTTAATAGTTTTACAAAAATAAGCTTCTTTGTGAACATACTGAAGTCTCAGATATGAGGAGTGTCGTGTAGTAAGGTGGAAATTTTTCCTATACAACTTCACAATTGTAGGAAGCATCAGGGACTCAGATGACATAATCTCAGTGAATGAGATTTCACTCCTATCCCTCCTGTCTCCACCACCAATAAAGACATTTAAGCTTATTTCAATTTGGCTAACGTCTCTGGATTTATGGATGTTATCACAAATGACAATTTTTTTTTAAAGTTGAGTAGTATTTCATTGTATGTACATCCTATTGTTAAATTTAGTCATTTGTTGATGGCCATTTTGGTTGTGAAGTCTACAGGTTCAATGAAATTTCTTCCAAAATTTAATAACATTTTCCAGAGAAATAAAAACGTTCTGAAAGGCCAATGCAATCTTGAACAAAAAATAAAACTGGAGTCATATTACCTGACTTCAAAATATACTACAAAGGTACAGCAATCAAAACACCATGGTAGTGCTATAGAGCAGACATATAAACCAATAGAACAGAAAAAAAAAAAAAAAAACAGAAATAAATCCATGAATTTATAACCAACTAATTTTCAATTAAATTGTCAAGAATACACAACAGGAGAGTCTTCAATAAGTAGTCCCGGGAAAACTAAATATTCACATGCACATGAATAAAAATGGATACTTATCTCTCCCCTTATACAAGAATTAACTCAAAGCATATTAAGAATTTAAATTCCCTACCACTCTGTTTGTAACTCTGTAATGTCTGTACTGATCCTATGCTATTTTGTAAAATGTTGTCAGTCTTTTAGTATTTTCCTCCTTTTATTTCTAAAATTAAAAAAAAAAAAAGAATTTAAATGTAGGATGTGAAACCAAAAATATTAGAAGAAAAAAATAGGGGACATACTTCTTAAGATTGGTGTGGGCATTAATTTCTTGGTTATGACTCCAAAAGAATAGTCAAAAAGCACAAATACACAAATGAAATTGTGTCATCTCTTCTTACTGAGTAGGGTCCAAGTAAGCTTGTCCTTCTTTAAGTTACAGGTATCAGGTATTTTGTCACAGTGCCAAAGAAGTGACTGAGACAGGTTCCAGTCATTCCCGATCTTAATCACAAGTTCTCTATGTGTTAAAAAGAGAGATGGATTGAATCTGTGATTTTAAACTTATTTGTTAGGAGAGAACACTTCGATGGAAAGAAATCTTAAAACAGAAAATGGATATCAAAACCAGCTACAAAGTAGAGCAGGTTCTGAGATCAAATCCCAGCTCTGACATGTACCACAAATATGACCTCAGACACCACACGTAACCTTTCTGAGCCTCAGTATTCTTTTTTTCTTTTGTCTTTTGCAGTGCTAGGGATTGAACCCCTGAGCTATATCCCCAAACTGGTAATCGTACTTCAAAAGTGAGGCCTTAGAATAGCCATAATGATTAGACTTTTTCAAAGAACACTGAGAATCAAACAACACTGGCACACAGGAAACATGTAGCAGATTTTGAATATTATTACTTGATATTGAAATAGACTTTCTTATATCTCTACCCTGTCCATGTTCACACACATGTGCATACACCTTACTGCAGGATGCTCCATGACTGTAATGGGCAATCGTGTGAGCTTTGTTTTGTCATCATTCTGGAAATCAGTTCCTCCGTATACTTTCTACTAAGCTGTCTGGTCCTGGAGAAATTATTTGACTTTTTTTTTTTTATCGTGTCACAGTTTTTATTCTCTAAAATATAAATAGTATTCATGAACATAACCTAAGGTTTTTGTGAAGTTTAATTAAATTAGTTTCTGCAAAGTACATAGTATTTTGCCTCAAACTCAGTAAGCATTAACTAGCTCATTTATCAGTTTCTTGAGGTGGAGAATATTGCTCAGAGTTGCACACAGATATATGTCTGGTGTCCAGCATCAGCAGGTAAATTCTCCCTCAGAAAGGTAGAGAAGTACAGTCTGGCAGTTGGCTCAGGAGAGCCAGACATTTGTCCACCTCAGAAAAGTCTGGCTTACCAGGATCTTCTGCACTGCTCCCTTCACTAACACAGTCCAGCAACTTCCTGTAAAATGTGCAACATGATGAGGCATCGAAATGCTGTCGCTAAGGACAAACCTCAGCCTCTTCAGAGATTGTTGTATTTGTTTTTCACAGAGGTGAGATGCTGTATAGAAACAGTTTATGTCCTGCAGTTAGACTACAGCTGTCAAATGTACTGGCAATGCAAAAGGATTAACATAGTCATTCCTGGTTTTCTCCATATAATTCTGCTTTGTAAGCTTTTATTTATTTATTTTTAATTCTAGGGCCATGATACAACTGCAGCTGCAATAAACTGGGCTTTATACCTATTGGGTTCTTATCCAGAAGTCCAGAAAAAGGTGGACAGTGAACTGGATGAAGTGTTCGGTATGTTTGACCCCTTCACTGGTGAGATTGTAGATCCTAAGTGCAGCAAAGCAAACATTATTCCTGCTCATTAAGGAGGTTCAGGGGGACCTGTTCTAAGGACGCTGTCCAAGGCAGGAAGGCTTCTGTACAGAGTCCCTTCCAGGACCTTTCTCCTTTGCAAGGCCCCATCCATTCCTTTATAAGTACTTGTTAAGTTGCTGATACGTGACTGCCCTGGGCTAGGCCTGCATAGATGCATGGGATTTTTTTTTGGTTTTTCTCTGGTACCGGGAACCGAACTCACGACCTTGCACTTGCCAGGCAGGCGCTTTGTCGCTGAGCTAAATCCCCAGCCCCTGATGCATGGGATTGACCCCAGGGTGAAATTGGCATGTGTACATAAAGCTCCTCTTCGTGGACTGTGTCCTGGAGTGATGTGAAGAAGGGAACACAGAGGAGCAAGTGGAGCTGTTAGAAGGATAAGGGAAAGCTATTTCGAGTGGGAACTGTATCTGACCACAAATGACAAAAAGAGGCATCATATTTATCTTCAAAGCAACAAGAAAGGAGAAGTGGAGATAAATGATATATTAATGTCCTATGGCAGTTGTAACAAACTCCACAAACTAGAAGGCTTAACAGAAATATATTCTCCTATTTTTCTGGACACTAGAAATCCAAAATCAGTATTACTAAGCCTAAATCAACATGTTTTCAGGGTTGCAGTCCTTCTGGAAAAAAAATTACCCATTGCTTCTTAAACTTCTGGTGGCTGCTAGTATCCCTTGGCTTAAGGGAACATTATTCAAACCTCTACGTTTGAATGGGTACCTAGCATCCTCCACCTTGCCTTCCGTGTGTGTGTGTGTGTGTGTGTGTGTGTGTGTTTTAAGGTTACCTGCTGGTATTCAGGGTCCATCTAGATAATTCAGGATTGTCTCCACATTTTAAGATCTTTAATTTAATCACTCTGCAAAGTCCCTTTTTTCCAAATAAGGTAACATTCACAGGTTCAAGGAAACAAGATTTGATATTTTGGGGGCCCGTTATCAGTCTACCACAAGATTCTACCATCAATTTTGACTTTTTTGTAATCATGCGTCACTTGGTTCTCCATAGCCAGAGGATGAAACGGAACAAAGCTGGCTTAGCTTACCAAAGTGTGGTAGCTGATGCAGTTGCATAGAGAAAAGAGTGGGAAAGGAAAATGAAGGAAAACAGTAGTAGAGAAAAAGCATTCTAGAAAGAGGAGCCAGAGGAACAGTGGCATCAAAGTGGGAAGCTTTCTGGTTTGCAGAGCAACAATGAATAGTAAGAAACAGCTGGAATTCAGGACACTTGGCGCAATGTAGAGTTCAGAGATAAAGTTGGAAAGACAGGTTTGTGCTCAGGCAGTGTGAAGACTGGGATTTGATATTAAGAGGTAAGACTTTTAAAGAGTGGAGATATCTAAACTTGAGCTTCATTTATGTAGTCATTTTATTTGTTTTTCCGTATCAGTTTTACTTTCTCTCAGGTACCTGAGGGTGTGTAAGTTTGGTCTTCTAAAAGCTCACAAGTTCTTTTGAAGTGGGTCACATCTTTTTATATCCTCTATAATTTCTATCTCATTGCCAGTGTCATGAGTGTTTTTAATCTTGCATGATTAGTAACACAGTAATCATTGCTAGAATCTTAGTTCTGCAACTTGTCATGTTTTCTGCTTATTATGCTTCCCTTTTTCTCATATATTACTTCTGAAGTTAGTTTCAAATTTTTCAGTTACTCTGTGCTTATTGAGTTGTATTATTGCTTATTGCTTTTCTTACTTTTAATTGAGGTAAATGTCACGTAATGTGAAATTAACCATTTTAAAATGCAAAATTTAATGAAATTTATAACATTCACAATGTGCTTGTCATTCATCTCTAAAATATTCTAAAATAATCTCAGTGCCCCAAAAGGAAACCCTGTACCATTAAGTGGTCCTCATTCTCCATTCCTCCAGTGCCTGGTGACCACCAATTTGCTTTCTGTCTGTATAAATAGAATCTTATGTGACTTTTTGTACTGGTTTATTTAATTAGCATGTTGTTTCATGTTATTTTCATTATGAATCATATTAGAAGTTCTACTTTACCTGTGGATATTTAACATTTGATATTTCAAGTCATATGTTCTTCTTTGATGCCCTCAACTCCATCCCCAACCCCAGAGAGTTTTCTTATTGTCATTCTATACACTTTCTGTAATCAGGGAAATCTGATCACCCTGTGACCTTGGAAGACCTGAAGAAACTTAAATATCTAGACTGTGTCATTAAGGAGACACTCCGCATTTTTCCTCCTGTTCCTTTATTTGCCCGGCGTCTCAATGAAGATTGTGAAGTAGGTAAGTGTTTATCTTGGTTACTTTTCTCTCTTTGCTGAGACAAAATACCTGACTCCCAATATTAAGCAAGGAAAGGTTTATTTAGCTCACAGTTTGTGGAGGTTTCAGTCCATACTTGGCTGGCTCCAAGGCAGAGTGGCACATGGCACAGGGCAACCATTCATGGCAACAGAAAACAGCAAAGGCAAGAAGAGCATAAGAGAGGAGCAGCGGCAAGCAGCCTCTTTCCCTCCTTACATTGTAAACTATCTGCCCCAGGGCGGGTGTAGCATTCACACCCATGAATCAATCATAAACTGTAAAAGCCCGCCCCATGACTGCATGAGGATTTGTGGGGACATGCAGACACAAACCATAACATTCTGCCCTGGCCCCCAAAAGACTCAGGAGAATGGCTTTTATCACTAATGTCTGTCTTGTTCTATGAATATGACATGATGCTTACTTCTTGCCAGCGGGTTACAAAGTTGTGAAGGACACTGAAGCCGTCATCGTTCCCTATGCATTGCACAGAGATCCAAGGTACTTCCCCAATCCTGAGGAATTCCAGCCAGAACGGTTCTTTCCAGAGAACGCACAAGGACGCCATCCGTATGCATACGTGCCCTTCTCTGCTGGCCCTAGAAACTGTATAGGTTTGTATCCATTGGATTGGTTCCACCTCTCGGCCCATGTGATAAGCGCTTTCTCACAAGCATCTCTTCAAGATGTGATACGGCACCACCTGTGTGCAACTGTCTTCAAAATACTGGTTCCCTTCTACCTCCACTTTAGAGTTTTAAAATATTACTGTCAGAAAGTAGAGTGGTTTCCTGGCGCTGCCACTGTGGAGTACCGTAGGTGGGGTGGCTTAAGTAATAGAAATTAATTTTTTCAGAGTTTTGGAGGCTAAAGTGTCCACAAGGTGCCCCGTCGGGGCCTCGTTCTTTGGCTCACAGACGGCTGCTTTCTCCCTGTGTCTTTGCTTGGTCTTGATGTGTGCCTGTGTTCTCATCATCTCTGCAGTGTTTATGTTAGGGTCTGATACAGGAAATAGAAACTCCCAACCTGAATGATGTCTGAGACAAATTTGTGTTCTTTAAAATTGAGGGATGAATTTCAGAAACAACGGCGGTTAGGAGCAGAATATATTTATTGAGGGAAAGAAAGCTCCTGTCCAAGAGAGGGACAGAAGGGGCCTGAGTGGGTTGCCAAGGATCTTGCCCTTCCCAGGCATTTTATAGAGCAAAATCACGAGGTGAGGTGGGTCCAAGATAGGGGGAAAACGGGAAATCACAAGGTGGGAATGAAGTGGGACAAAACTATGGTCAGCCAATAAGGTTGCAAGTATAATTGTTTAGGTAAAATTGATTAAATGGGAATCAAATGGGGAAGCGAGTGACGTAGCAAGCAGACATGAATACAGAACAGGGACTTTTCCTGTAGGGGGTTGGGCTAGTGACTCTTCCTGGCTTTTTTAAGGTGATTGCTACCTATTGAGAATATCAATCCCTGAGGTCCATCCCTAAGGAAGTATGTGGGCGCATCTGTTTACTCTTTTGTCCACAGCTGGAGGTGTGTCTCCCCCACAGTTGCAAGGTATCTCGTTTTCTGCACTGGCTCCTTTGAGGGCCTGGCCCTGTCTGACTGCCTATAATATTTCTATCTACTTCAACTGCCTGTAACAGTCCACCCTGGTGGCCTCATTTAAATTTTATTAAGGTTAACTGTTTCATATTATCTGTCTCTTTTGTCTTTTTTTTTTTTTTTTTTTGAGTTACTGAGTATAAGATGGTGCTAAGCTTTATCCTCAGCCCTTTTTATTTTTTTGAAACAGAGTCTTGCTGAGTTGCCCAAGCAGGCCGTGAGTTTCTGCTCCTCCTGTCTCAGCCTCTAGAGCAGTAAGGATTACAGGGAAGCACCTCTGTCTCTGACCATTCATTACCTTTTTAAAGACCCTATCTCCAGGATAATCAAAGTGTAGAATACCAGGAACCAGGACATCCACATAGGAATTTTGGATGGGGACACAGTTCAGTAACATAAAATACTCAGTTTCATGGCAGAGCTTTTAAAAGTTGTAGATTGGGAGTAAGGTAGAATATAATTCCTTATGATAAGAATATGTGATTAGCTGTGTTTAACCTAATTTGTGTGTGTGGTTTTAATAACTGCATTTTTGAAAAACCAAAACAAAGTATGCTTGGGCTGGGGATTTAGCTCAGCGGCAAAAGCGCCTGCCTGGCAAGCGCAAGGTCGTGAGTTTGGTTCCCGGTACCGGAGAAAAAACCAAAAAAA